ATACATACATACATACATACATACATACATACATACATACATACATACATACATACATACATACATACATAGATACATACACAATCTTTATTTAAACACGATGATTTTTAAAGCTATAAAGCTTGTGGGGTCGTTTGTTTAAAAACGAAGTTTGCTTTCAACAAGTAAGTGCCGGCTTTGATACAGAACATAGACAATCGCCTCGAATCGTATGAAATCATGAATAAACCTACTCGAGGGAACTCATTTCAGCGAGAAGGGTATTACTTAAGCTGTCTGTCGATTCGCTGTTTTGTTTTTCAGCAGTTTCTCCAGCTTTACCTCTTTCTTTTTGCCGCGGGTTTTTTCTTTGCCAGTTTTTCCCATCACACAGCGTTCAACAGAGCGAGATAAAAAACGTGACTGCTATGCGATACTTTTCCCAGGAAAGTCTTGATGCATTGTCATTGACGCCAAGAGGTCCCGTCTACCCATGGGCCATTGTAGAAACTGAGAGGACTGGGAAAGAGTGTGGTTGTTTTCCGTTTGTTTGAAAATCTAAGATATTAAAATGAAAGATCAACTAAATTTGAGAGTCTTAAGCAAGAATAGAAGTAATTAAAGGAGGAAAATGGCAAAATTACAGCTTTTCAAATATCGCCTAAAATAGAGAGTTTGTATTCATTGGGTAGACAGGGCAAAAAATTTTAAGGGTTTGTATGGAATTTTTGCAACTTTTGCAAGGCTCCAATTTGGACATTTTTCCGCCGAAAAATCTCAAACTTCGCTAGGTAGCTTTTCATTCAGTAACGTAATCAATATAAGAAACTCGTCCCAGTCCTCTCACGTTTCTGCAATGGCCTATTGGTTCGCGGTTTCAGGAGGCGAGATAATCTCTTGGAGTGGCGCTAGTTGTCTACAAACCTTTGGGAGCTAAAATCTCGCATTTGATTTTGAGAGGAATACACCCAATTTGAACGAATTTATACTGAGGCTATGTAGATTTGACCAATTATCGTGAAGTTTTGCCAGAACATTCCAGGGATAATGAGGAACGAAAGTATGTCAGGAAATTTTGATATTTGAAATATTTTCCACGTTGTGTCCATTTACGCAACACGTTTCGCATATTTTACGCTACTCTAACTTTAGATGCAGATATCTAGACAACCAATCAGAATATCGGAAAAGCCTTACACACTTTTGTTGACTGATACATTGTGAATAAGACTGTGCAGCCATTTTGCTCGTGCTGCGGGATCCGATACCCGATAAAGAACAATTAGATAAATAGATAATTCTTCATGGAGAGGAGGGCATTGAGGTCTATTAGAAAGCGCAAATCCGGAAAAAATCCCGTTACTATTTTTGACAAAAACCGAAAACTAAATGCTAAAAGAACAGAAAATCTGCAAACAGCAATTGGAGCTTCCTGGGCGAGGGAAATCCTATAGTCCTGGTTCAAAACGAACAAACACACACTTCAGCCATATTCCATGTGCTCAACACAACTTTAATATTGGTTCCAGTCCCCCACACGGGGTGCGCTTGGCGCATAAAAAGAAATTCGCGTATCCAGCAATGATCAGGAAAACCGAAAAACCGATGTTTTTTTTTTTTACGCAAAACCCGAAAAATCGATCTAAATGATAGTTACACTGTAAAATCACAAAACCGAAAATCTCAATGCCCCCCTCTTCAAAGTTTTAGTCCGGAGACGGTGGATTCTTTGCTAAATCTACTTTGTCAGGAGCCCTCCTGACTTTGTCAAGAATGGCAGATTCACGCTAGTTGCTGATTACCGTCTAGCCGCTAATTAAGGTTACTTCCCACCTTCAGAGGTCGAAGAAAACTTTTTTTTTTTTTAATTGACTACAATGAAGTCAAACTTTTTACCAAACGTTTCTGAAAAAAAAAACCAGGCATGGCGGAGAGAGATTGAGGCATGGTTGTCTACGAGACTTTATGAGTTATTATCATTCGCATTTTATTTTGGGAGGAATTCATACGTGCATACAAGCTCCCCCTTAGGGGCTCTTTCGCCATGCATGAATATTAAAATAATAAGTTACAAAATTAAGATAAAACTATTTACAGATAAAACTATTTACAGATAAAAATATAGATTATAAAAACAGCTTACATTTCAATGATAAAATAACATCTTATGATCTATGAATTAAAAATATTTGTAAAATTTTGTTAAAAGGTTAAGGCTTTTTGTGTTTCTAATCTCCTTTGGTAAAAAGTTAAAAAAATTTTGCCCCACGGTAGGCAAAAGCCCTTTGGCCAGTCGAGATCCTGCATTTGGGCAACGTAAGATCGTTCTTTGCCTGGTTTCTCTTTGGTGAATTTCTGAACGGTGTTGAAATCGCTCAGGAAGATAGTACGGGAGTCTAGTTGTTCCATAACTAAGTCGTTAGAGGGCAGGTTTTCCTTCACTTTAATCCACTTTAGGCGAATTTAATATATCAGAATATTGGCCGAAAACGAGTTTGCACTTACTGCACTCGAGACCAGAATAGTCCTCTCGTACCAAGGTATGAGTCAAGATCTATGAAAGACTCACTCTTATATAACTGAGGAGCTTCGTTATGAAACTTTGTTAACTACAATAATAAGGAAGCCTCGGCGACCCTCAATTTTAATCAGCTCAGGAAGCGAGTAAGTTCTGAGGATTATTTTAAAGACTTTAAGTTCAAATGTACATTTGCATCTGCTATAAGATGCAGACAACATAATTTTATATATCATTGAACATTGGGTCCATGCAACATTTAAAAATTATATATATGTTACCTTATTTCTTAACCTTATGTACGACAAATGTAGATTTAATTTGATGGCGACTTCTTTGTTCGTAATTTGGATGCCAGCATGGAGAGGAGTGCCAAAACTGGTCTGATAAAATGCTGCCATTTCTCTCCTCTTTGGGCCTGTTTTTTTTTTTTTT